CAAAATTCCTTTGTCCCAGTTTGAAATTCCTACCTGCATTTCTATTGGCTGAATTTACCTGGCTTAGGTGAGGGACATAGCCAGCAGTCTGGGGCCTAATGGGTTTACTAACGCTTAAGGTCATGACACTTATGAACACACTTGATTTTTCCATGCAAAATGACAATGGCTTTTTAAGTGCAATTGTTAAAAATTCAAAACTGAAACTAACACTTTTATTTGTAATTAATTTTTTATCCAAAGTTTAGATTGTGGAAGTGCCAGCACATTGAGAAGTTGGTTTTTCACTTACTGTACTTGTGGTGCCAAGTTAGTAATAAAGAGCCAGGCAAACTGGATAATTTGTCATTCAAAAGTCTGCTGAGCCAGAAACATAGATATTCTGCCTAATTATTCATTGAATGCTAGTCCAGTCAAACTATGACATGTCCTGTGGCACCTTATAGACTAACAGATTTATTAGAGCATAGGCAAAGACCCACTTTATCAGATGCATATAGTGGAAATTGCAGAGGTAGCTATAAATACCCTCATGGGAGCATGAAAAGAAGGGAGTACCAATCAAGAGGAAAGCCACAGATAAGGTGGTCAATTCAGTCAGGGAGGATGTGGCCCACTTCTAAGCAGCTGATGTGGAGGTATGAACATCAGAAACTGCTTTTGTAGTTGGCTAACCAGTCAATAGAGATCCTGAGGAAGAATCTAAAGGATTGAATGCAGTTATGGCTCTGGTATTGACTCTCAGTCCCATCAGTGTCACTGAAGGTAATGGTACTGAAGGCAGGTACAGTGCAGGCAGAGGTGGTGGTGGTGTCTATGCTGGGAAAGATGTAGTGTCCTGACAGAGAAGCTAGTTTCCTAGCTTCAATAAGAGCCTTCATGGAGTACTGTAGTTAAAGTCATATCCCCAGTTCTTGACAGTTTCTTCTCCATGCTAGGAAGAATTCAGAATTTGAAACAATCACATGAATGATCTAACCTCTCACAAATAGAAGCTTCTCTGTTCAGGAATTGGTTTAGGTGCAGATCACTCCTAAAAATCCCACAATTTCCATATATACTCCTGCTTCTGTAACTTCCACTCCAATTCATCTAAGGAAGTAGGTTTTGCCCACAAAAGCTTATGCCTTAATAAATCAGTCTCTGGAGTGTCTCAGGACTCCTTGTTGCTTTTGCAAACACAGACTAACACAGCTACCCCTCAGTCTAAAAAAAAAAAAGTGAGATTAGAGTCAGGAAGCAATGTGCTAACACAGCTGGTGCCCTGGTATAGGTGCACAAACCAGAAAACTGGATCACAGTTGCAGCACTATCCTAGAAGGGGCTGAAGCTGTGAACCTTTTAAATTAGTGTTTCCCAAACTATGGGCTGTGGCCCAGTACTCGGCCCCAGGAAAAAAATACTGGGCCTCAGCATGGCTGCCAGGAGGGGAGTGGGGCAGGCTGGGAGGAGGGGTGTCTGTGGGGGAAATTGGCCACTGGGAAGTAGAGTTGGGGGCAGCGGGGCTGTCCAGCAGAGATCGGGGACCAAGCAGCTAGCAGAAGCAGGGCTGCATGGGGGAAGCTGGCAGGAGGAGAACGGGAGAATCAGCTGCCGGAAGCAGGGCTGGACAGGGAGAAGCGAAGGAATACCAGCCAGCTGGGAGGGGAGACCAGCCAGCAGAAGCAGGGCTGGATGGGGAGGGGGGGGCGGGGGTCGGGGGGGG